CTTTTTGTTGTGCGATATATTGCCCCAGAAATAATTGCGATAAGCGATATTATTGTCATTTTAAAGACCATTTTATGCCACTGAATATATAATCATAATGTAACATGCAAGAAGGCCAAGAAGGCCAACATACTTCCAAATGACAACAATCTTTTAATTCTTAAGAATATTTAGATTAAGTATCAAAAGTATCAAAATATTAGATACCTTAAAAAACCTGAATAAATAGTAAATAAACATTTTCTAACAAAAAGTGCAAAGTAACAAGTAGAAAAAAAGAAAAATCTGCACTTTTATGGAGATTTTTCCAACTACAGATCTTTCCCGGAACTTCTTTTCTCTGTAAATTAAGGGTGCATGTCCTTAAACAAGGCCATATCTGCAGATGAAACTTTGTTTGTAGAAGCATTTTTTTTAATTTGAACTAGCACCTCATGACTACACCACGTTATTTACAAGAAGCTGCAAAAGACACAGGCCAAGTGGAATGCAAAAAATATGGTGACATAAAGGAGAAATTCAAACGAACTAAAAACGAACAATTGCTTTACTCCGAATTGCCGCTATTTTAAAGTGAAAGTGAAATCGGCACACCGCTTTTACAAGCGAAGGAAAGCGAGGAAAAGAGGGAATGCCCCGCCCCCGCGGTGATACCGGTATTACCGGTGTTGTCACACGCCGATTAACCGGTGGGAAAATTTCCTCACCGACACAACCCTACTCTCCTCTCCGCTAGGACATGACTTGTCCAGTTTGCTCTCACTCCATTGCCCTGTTTACACCTGGTATTAAGATGCGTTTTTGAACAGGCTCTAAAACGTTTTGAGCTTGTCCAGTTTCGACCACTTCCAGAGGTAGTCGAAAACGCATTCGGCCAGATTGCGCTTGTAGTGTGGACACTCATGTGGTTGAATGCGTTCGAACAGCCACTAAAGACCACCTACTCTCCCCTGACTGAGCTAATTCGTAAACATTGCATTCATTACGTTCTATAAACATTATGTTCACTTCCTATCCATTAATCAACAAAATTAGAATGTTAAATTAGATTTTAATTAAATTACAATGGTCAAGGGTATGTGACGCATTAAAAACAAATGTTTTTCTTTTCAGTGGTTTAGATTTGCATGCGCATAAACAACAGGAGAAAACAGAGAAAAACTGAACAAAATGACATATGATAGGAATAAAATAAATACACGAAATACGTTTCAGTTAAATAATTAACAAAGTAACAAAACAAAGGAAATCTGCTTCGTTTTATTTTTATGGCCGCACTACAAGTGATTTACGGAAACAGACGGCTGACAAGCACATCCTGTTTGTTTTCTTTATTTTAGAAAGTCAGTTTTGTTCTTATTGTGAATATACAGTACATAAATAATAGTAAACCTTTACAGTTTCAAATGATGTCGGAATTTTTTTTTTTTTTTCCGCTGCAGGACAACATCCGCGATCGCGCCAGAGCCTCTCACGCACACACAACATATCATTTATAGCATTGCTGGATGTTTATAGGCCTATGTTGTCATAATGAATGCCATTATAATTTTTTTTTTTTTTTTTTAATTGAATATATAATTTTGTAGCTACTTATATTTTCTGATTTGATCTTATTCTGTTCTAAATACCTATAACATTTAAACGATTTGCTGACAACTTATATAGGTGACTAATGTTTTTTTCTCTCTCTCTCTCTCAGCACAATATTGACTGCAATATGTAGCCGAATTTTTATCCATGCAGTAAATGTTTTAAAAATAGCTTTGGGAAGAAAAAAAAGATAAAACATTTTGCAAGCTTATTTCACAATATTATAAAAGCCCACATATACTGGCCCATAGCCCCTCCCCTCAAAAGAAATCAGGACAGAAGTGGTTGAAAGTCGACAGAAGAGAACACCAGGTGTGAACGGGAATGTGTCTCCCTTCTCTACTTGTGACCCGAGCAACCGAAACACATATTAATACCAAGTGTAAACAGGGCCCATAAATCACATGCAGTGTCTTGGGGCGATGCAAACTCAAAAAGAAGCTGTGGCATTACCTAACTTTTCTTCCCTCCCCCTAGAGGTCGTTTCCTCCCACTGCACTGGCTCGCGAGGAGCCAAAACATGCTAGCATGCGGCACTTTCCGACACCCGTGGGCAAAAAAAAAAATCAGAAGTTCACTGTGCTGAAGTGTCTGTTTCCATGGCAGCAGCTGAGAGCACGTTTGCAGGAGCACGTATATGCGAGTGAACCCACTCTCAGATATTTCCACACAACCCA